ACGCCACTGGAATGATGTCTTTCACGCAAAGGTAATAAAATCCAAATCTTCACCTCAGTGGAGATAAAGGTGACCTTTTTTTTCTTTTTCCAATGACGTAACCATGCAAATCATAAAATCAGCGCAACTCCACGTGCCACCGGCTGGTGGGCATGGGCCGGTATAGAATGTTTTGCGATTTCAGTTGAAATTGGATGTAACGGAAAAAAAGAACGGAAAAAATCGCGAGGAAATGGTACGTGTTGAATCGCTTTTTACCTGTCTCTCTCTTTTTTCTGAACGTTGCGCTTTGAGGGTACGTAAATATATGCATAAGGCAGAGTGCTTTGAGCGTATACTTAAATATATGCTATTCATTCCAGCCGATATACGAGATGCGCAAATTCCGGCGTGTCTTAAGTGTATTTTTATTTCTTGATAAACACTTCTGACAAAAAAAAAAAAAAAAAAAAAAAAAAAAAAAAAAATATGCTATTCTGGCGTATCAAATAATGAGGACGCACGTACATTCGAATGTTGCCAAATACCTGCATTTTGCAATTTGGAATTGTAAATTCTGGCTCTTCTGGAAAAAAACTTATGTGCATAGGGACACTAATGGCACTTACGTTGTTTTTAAACTGGGCTAGAATTTATAGTTCCAAATTGCAAAATGTAGTCCAAATATCCCTCGATAAAAAATTCAAGGGCTATGTGAGCAACACAGCCGAAGATAGAAGAGATGTAGTCAGGCTTCATTTATAAACTATTCTCCAGAATCAGAGCGACACATCATTGGAACAACAGAGCAGCGCACTGCGAGTTCACGCCTCGCGCCATCGCGCCTTCAATTTTGCAGACGCAACACGGGCATCCATCAAGCACGAATAGTTGTATCTCTGCGCCGTCATCGATGCGCATCCTTCCCTTGCTCTATTACCATACTGATGCTCATTTCGTTTGTTTTATTTGTAATGGTACTTCAAGAACTTTGTGTACAACGCGGCTGAAGGTAAGAGAGACGTCATCTAGCTTCTTTTTAACTTGTGTACCAAATCTGAACGACACCTCATCGGTAGCATAGAGCGGAGCATTTGTGAGTTCACGCCTCGCGCCATCGCGCCTTCAATTTTGAAGACGCAACACGGGCATCCATCAAGCACGAATAGTTGTATCTCTGCGCCTTCATCGATGCGCATCCTTCCCATGCTCTATTACTACTATATACTGATGCTCGTTTTCGTTTGTTTTATTCGTAGTGGTACTTCAAGAACTTTGTGTACAACGCGGCTGAAGGTAAGAGAGACGTCATCTAGCTTCTTTTTAACATGTGTACCAAATCTGAACGACACCTCATCGGCAGCATAGAGCGGAGCATTTGCGAGTTCACGCCTCGCGCCATCGCGCCTTCAATTTTGCAGACGCAATACGGGCATCCATCAAGCACGAATAGTTGTATCTCTACGCCGTCATAAACTCGAGTCCTTGCCCGTGTGCTATTTTCATGTCGTGTCGGTTCCGTTTGTCTTTTTTTATGGTGCCTCAAGAGCACTGTGAGTTTTACTTTTTTAAACTTTCCTTCCGAATCTGAGCGTCACCTCATCGGCAGCATAGAACGGAGCATTCCGAGTTCCCACCTTATATCTGCGATTCTCTCATACTGGTTTGCTTTCGTTATTAGACCTTTTAACAAACTTTGAATGGTACCTACCTCTAGTAGGTATGTTTGAGGTGGCATAGCGCAGGCTCATATCTAATAGGCACAAGCTCGCATTGACTTTACCATAATGTGGGTTCTCTTGATTCCTTTTTAATGGTGTCCCTCAATCCTCGCCACACGGAGCGCCTAAATTAATCTCACACCAGGTTTAAAAAAATCATAAATCTGGCACTGTGTATTATTATGTAATTTCATGACAATGAATGATTTTTTGTGAATGAAGGAATAGGTAAGGACAAGAAATTGTTGCCAGATGTGGCAAAATATGCATGTACACATGCTACATTTTTACATAAATGCATCTTTCAAAACATTTTCACTCAAATTTTTTTCGTGAATTATGTTTCCATTTTGCCTCATTTGAGACTATAGACGAGTCAGGTTCGAAACTTTTTTTCAGCTAATTATTAAATCATCGACAGTCTATCTAGCAATCGCCTTCTCTTGGCCATGATCTTGCAGGAAAATTGAATCCGCAGCAAAAAAAAAGGAGCTCTACAAAACTAATTTTATATATCTATTAAAAGAAAAAAATAAATTATAATAAAGCGCATAGGGAAAAGATCCCCTACGTTGGGATGAGAGTTTTCCGTAACCTGTCAAAGATGCCCGGACCTAAGTTGTCTTGAAAGCGCTGTCTAAACTCTAAAAATGCTACATCATTAATCAATACTAACGAGAAAAAAAAGGGGAAAAACACTAAGAAATGGTCCGAACTGTCCATATGTAACAAGGTTTTGCCCCGAAATGGTCTAAATCCAGCACCATTTCACCACCTTGTTAACCAATACCAGTAACACTTAACAAACAAACAAACAAACAAAAACCAAAAAGCAACGAAAAAAAACCAAAAAAATGAGAAAAAAGAGAGGGCGCGGCAATGAAAAATTTGAGTTATTATTCGAAAATTTCAAGGCAACGAGCTCTCCTATAAAGCCTTTTAACAACCAATGACTCAAAATTATGGAAATTGAACTTGCAAATTTTTAGAGCCAGGTAATGCGGACAAAAATACATATGGGTATTCGGAATCCCGAGAAATTCTGAGAACTTTCAGCGATGATCAAAACGTATATCTACGAGGTCTTGCGTGTGGTTGTAGATGGTTGCGGTCGCGCAAGTATCGTGTCCGTTGCGGCAGCTGACTGTGAGCTGAGGCTGAGACACAATAGCATTTCCGTCGACAAGCACAGCTGCAACTGCCGATTCGAAATATGCTCTCGAATCTTTGCATTTTGTTTCCTTCTTTGTGGAAACGAAGAAAAAAGTCTATTAAAATTTTCGAATTTTTCGCAGAATTGGATACAATGAAATTTGGTCATTGCAAGATAAACATAAATATCCTAAAGCAAGAATAAATACGGCTGGAATCAGGACCACATTGAATTTCTTATTTTTATTAGTCACTAAGTCGCTCCTGCGGGTTTTTTTTTTTTACCTTTTTAAAACATATCGAGGGTGAAACTATACTGCCGTGCTAAAGAAGAACGCCGTAGGATCATTCGAGAGTTGCCAAATTTCCTTCGATAAAATGTGTATTTTTTAGTAAAGATATGAATATTTTTCTTTGAAATTTTCAGGAACTTTAGGTGAAATTGCTAACAGAATTATCTGAAAAATTGGAATGATATCATTCATAAGTTTACCAGGAAATTCATGTTTTATCAAACAAAATTTGGCAACGCCTGAAGGTTCATAAGGCGTTCTTCCTTAGCACGGCAGTATACCAGACCACGTATCTCCTTATTTGCGGTGTTTAAAAATCACCACTCCCACTTCATTTTTTTGAAAGCGGACAAATAAACATCATTCCGTGAAGTTTAAACGGAGTTTTTCTCACACTGAGAATGAAAATCAGGGAAATTTTCAAGGAAGACGATTAGTTTTCCATTTAAAAATACAGTATGAAAAGAAGTCTACAGCTAGCGTCGCAAACCGAGATACGTGGTCTGGTAGTTTCATCGTCGGTATACGTCATTATTTTTCCAATTGATAAGAATTAAAAGTAATAATTTGTCAAACGTTAATTACAATTTGAATGATTTATTTTGTGACTTTCCGAACTCATTTAAAATAACATATCGATGGAGAAGCTCTCAAACCACGAATCTCGGTTTGCGGCGTTGCAGACTTCCTATCATACTTGGATCCCATTTTGCAAAAAGGAACCGGAGGAATTGCAATGATGCTAAGAGTGTGCATTTTAATCCTTTGCAATGAAATGACTGAAACCATGAAAAAATATGAAATTTACAGGGTAATTTTTGTCTTAAATTTACAGTTTTTAGCGAGTAAAATACAGACTGTTAATGGATAATCAGGGTGTTCTTCCAAGACAAAAGAGGTTGCTCGATCTTAGCAACATTGCAATGTTCCTGGTTCCTTTTAGCAAAATGCAATCCACTTCATTCTTAAATAGTAAACTACTCAGCGGCAAATCTTTGAAAATGTCGGGATGTTTCTTATTCTCTGTGTGAAGAAAATTTCGTGAAAACTCCAAGGAATGATGTTGATTTTTTCTCCTTTGAAAATGAAATAGGGGTGGGGATTTGAAAAAATGGCAATCTAGATACGTGGTTTGGGTGTACACCATTGATACCTTTGCACAAAGATTTTGCGTTTTCAACCTGATCAACTTCTTCAAGGCAAAGCGGATCGCATAGTGTTTAAACTCAATTTACATGGACTATAGAGTCCATGCAAATTGACGAGCAACTCGAAAATGAACATGATTTTTGAAAAGAATGTAGGTAATATTTTTTTCTTTAAAATGAAAATAAGAAAGACGCAACTATTTTAAATGAATTGAATGACTTTTTTAAAAAAGATTGAAAATCTAGTGAAAATATAGAAGGAACAAAGTCAGGTGATAAAATAAATGAAAGCAAGTAAAACAATCAAAATAGAAAGATATGTTTTATTTAATATTTAATGAAAACAGAAAAGTAACCGAATAACTAGCATATAAAAATAGAAATAACAAATGAAATAAGATAATCGAGTCAGTATAATTAAATTAGGATCATATTCTTTTCTCTTCTTCGAATGAAGGCACTGGAAAAAAATTACGTTTTTCCAGCGCTTCCTCCAATCATCGTAAGCTAGAGGTTTCTCCCCTCCCTCCTAGCACTCCGTTGGGATGGATATGGGATGGATGCGTCAATTCAAATTTCGCGGGCTGGATTCTGGTTCACCATTCCAAATATTCCTCCGCTTCCGCAGATGATAAGTGAGAGGAATCGACAAAGGAACAAAGTGGAAGGAACTTTTTTTAATTCGCAACTTCGTCACTAGAGTTTTGCCTGTTGACGCATCGGCATGGACAACCGCCGAGTGTCGCTGTGGTTGTGCGAGCAACTTCCGTCAGTCCCGGAAAAATGGCGACCTCAGATTCTAAAGCTCCGTTACGGAGCGTTAAAAGAGTGCAATTTGGGATCTTATCGCCAGATGAAATCGTAAGTTTTACCATATTTCAACCCCTTATTGTTTGTGCATTTTAATTTTACTTAGTATCAACCTCCCAAGCCAGAGACGATTACACAATTTGCATGCAACTGAATGTCTAGGTCACTCCACTCTCTTCTTGGCTTCTACTTGAGAGGGTTCGACGTTTTTGGTGTTTTAAATCGATAAGAAAGGGTTTGGAATGCAATTCATGGGTCTCTTACTTATGGCGCAGTTACTGATTACAATTAGCAGTTATAAATGTGTCCCAGGTAGGTATCTCAATGGTGCTTTGAATGCTGTATCACAGAGCCTACCAGCCTTGGTCCGTCAAGCAACCATTTTAAATGCCATCACTCACAGTTTTTTTCGGTCATTTTCCTAAAAATGGCTTTGCTCTCATTTTTCCCGATACATGTTATGCTTAAATCGTTTAAAAGGCACCGGCCCATTGATGCTTGTACTATATTGAAGTAGGTCAATATTTGTGTAGAGAGTCCATCTGAATGAGCTTGTTGCTGCGATTGTCGTTTACATTTTACTCTTATCCTCTGTCGGGAGTGTCGTATGAACTAATCTCCATGAGAGCCATAGCCAGTTTTAAAATCAGGATTGAGCACTGATACACCAGTTTTTCAAGAAGTGCAATCTTGTGCAAGATGGGACGCTGTAGGTAGATAGGACCTAGGTAGCTGGTTTTACGGCTGATTTGATATTTGTCCAAAGAATGCCATAGATGTTAGCGCATGTCCCGAATGTATCTTCTCCATGCAAATGCACTGATAATTTCCTTGTCATCACATTGTATGATGGAGGAACATAGTCTGCCGGGAGAGGGGGAACCACCTTGTTTAGTGGAACTCAAAATTTTGAAGTTTCCCGAGTGGTTATGTGCAAACTGGTTTTTCAGCTGCAATAGAACTCTCCAGCTCCCTAGAAGCTTTGACACAGAGTTTAACATTAGTCTTAATGTAACTGATCAAGGTCCTAACTTTCACCCTGTGTTGTGACAGCTGTTGTCCGCGTCTAAAATTTTTTCAGTCTGTTCAGATTGCTACACCAAATTTTTAATAGTCCCTGCTGGTTAAGTCTAAGTCGGCTGATTTACGGTTTGTGTATTTCAAACATCAGGCTTACAGTAAGAATTGTTCTCTCTTGAGAAATCGTTTCTGAAACGGGTCCCTCTAGTATTCAACACATGGATTGCATGATCAAGCAGTTCTATCACCACCTTTCGAATTGACATGTCACACATATAACAATACTAACAGCGTATCTCTCTTTGTTTGTTTTTAGCGGCGTATGTCTGTCACAGAAGGGGGCATCCAGTACCCCGAAACCATGGAGGGTGGAAGACCAAAACTGGGCGGGCTGATGGATCCGCGACAAGGTGTCGTAGATCGAATGTCCAGGTGTCAAACTTGTGCCGGTAAGAATCTTTCAATTCAACCCATTCGCCTCATTTGATGAGTATCCTGGTCAGCGCGCACGCACGACATATCTCATTTGACGAGTTAATTCGCAGCATCTATTGGCGTTGCTATGCAATTGTTTTGGTCACGTTTCTTTGCTTTTCCGATTGATGACATCACAAGCATCACAATGCTGACAGACAGTGCAAATTACCTCGTCAGCTGAGATATATCCTAGGCGCTCAATAGAGGTGCGCTATAGGCCTCTGTATATTTTGAGTAGACCTCTGTTATTTTCTACAGTGCACTATATTTTAGCTAGAAGTTCAATATGTGCCCTGATAAAGAGAATATGAAACTACAGACCATATAAATGAAAATAAAGAAAAGAAACTATCTAAGCCTCCTTAATTGCAATGTATGTTTACAATGAGTCAGTTAAATCATTTTTTTATTATGTCACTCGAAAGTAGTAAGTGACCGAAGCTTTCAGTTCTTTTCCTAATTTTTTTTGATGACTGCTAATGGGAGAAAAGTTTATTGAAAGTGCCTAAAATTAGGGTGGCCTAAAACGGCATTTGAACTGTGCGCTCGTAGGTTTCGAATGTACACGTCACGATCAATATGGCGGCGGAATGCATTGTAGAAGAATACACGGCGGCGTCGCATTGGCGGTGTGTTTTTGTTGATCAATTGGAGGTTATATAGGTTACTTTGTTTGAGATTCTTACCCATTGTTCTTAATTCTCTAAGCTTTTCAATCAGAATGCGATACAGATTCATGTAGGATATGAAACATTCACATAGAACTTACTTAACCTCCAAGGAGAAATCGTGATGTCAACAACGGCAGCGTGGCAGTAGTAAGCAAGTTGGCTTCTTAGCCACCATCTTCCCGTCAATGGCGTGTAGATTCAAAGATTCACGGCGATCAGTTCAAACACGTTTTCGAGGACCCCTTAAAAGGAAGGGTTATATCTCCGCGGAGACAATTTTTGGTGAAATGTTAACGTGCGCATCGTTCTTTTCGTACCAAAAACTGGTAGATTTGACTATTTGAAGGCAAATCCCTCCCGAGCTTAACTGACTCATTTGATCGCAACAGGGCAGATGAAAATATTTAGCAATCCTGGCACAGTAGAGTGTCCAGCTCTAGACATTGTTCCAATTTTCAGGAAATCGCTGAAACTAATGCTGTAATTTGTAGGCGTGTAACGATTTAATCATTATGAATTGGACTGCATTTCGCATAAAAGAGCCACAAGCATTCCAATGTCGTTAAGATTGTGCAACTTTTTTTACCTTGCAAATTTAAACTGATCATCTAAACAAGTTTTATCTTTACTCCCCATAAAATATGAATTCAATTCGAAAATTACCTTGGTAAATTTAATTTTTTGCAAGGTTTTACCTAGATATCTTATTGCAAGGAATGTAAGTAGCAACGTTCTAATGCTTTTGTTTCCTCTTTGCAAAATTCAATCCAGTTGGTAGTTCCACTTTAGGTACCATTATTTTTCTGCTATTCATTGTCAACAATGTAGAAAGGTGTAAGTTTACATTGACTCTAAGATTTTTTGCCTTTTGTTTTTCAGGTAACATGTCAGAATGTCCAGGTCACTTTGGTCACATCGACCTAGCGAAACCTGTGCTACATGTAGGATTTATCACCAAAACTATCAAAGTCCTTCGATGCGTTTGTTTCTATTGCTCTAAACTTCTTGTTAGTCCTGTAAGTATCAATGCAAAATACCATTTTAAATCTAAGCAACACCTATTATTATTTAGTTTAAACTCAGCTTTTTTATGCCTTCACTAACATCCTACGAAAATGATGCTTTGTTTTATGTCAATGTGGATCAGAAGGTATTGCTGTAAATTTTGATTTCTTTTTCATCCCACTTTTTTCGTTCAGTCCAAAGCGCTCCACATGTAAAAGGGAAATGGCTGGATTCAACTTCTGAGGTGGTTGTAGATTACACCCTTGATATCGGTCAACTTTAACAGCTACTCAAGTTAGCCAATTACAAAGGAAACTCTAGCAATGTTCCTTGCGAATGTTAGTAGTTGAATCTTTCTGTAGAGTTAGAAATATTTCAATTTCTCAGCAGATATTAATTTTGAATCTGCCAAAATAGAACTCCTAGTGGCTCTGCATAATGTTCCATGTTAGTTTCCTTTTTTAAGAAAACTTGTTAGAAAAAACCATCCTCTTAGTTTGCTCGGAAGTATGATACTAGAATAATTTTAATTATGAAGCGAAGTTAATCAAATCCCTAATTTAGGAAAATTCACTACTACTAAGATTCAAGTACAAGCTGTAAATACAGTTTTTCTGCAAAGCCGCCTCCAAAGAGCATTTGATGCTTTTAGTCCTCGTTGGTATGAAGTATTCCGTCTCCCATGCTGAACATAAGTGCCGGTGGATTTTTCCACCCACTCTCTTCATTATTGACTGGAAGATATTTGTTGTAATCTCTTATTTACATCTTTTTTTTTCTTATTATTTTTCAGAGTCATCCAAAAGTTAAAGAAATTGTAATGAAATCCAAAGGTCAGCCTCGCAAAAGGTTAGCTTTCATTTATGACCTGTGTAAAGGCAAAAATATCTGTGAAGGTGGTGATGAAATTGATATAGCAAAAGAAAATCCTGACGATCCATCAAGAGAGCAGGTAAGATACCTTTTTCACTCGTATTGAGGTTGAGATAAAAATGAGGAAACATTTAATTGGCACATAGTAGCCCCAATCAGAATAGGGTGTCTACAAGTCCGGAATTTCCGGAAAGTATTGAAATAGCACTGATTTTTTAAGGGCAGTCTGGAGGCACTGAAAAAGTGCGAAATTCTACAAGGAGGTTTGGAATTTTTTCATTTTTTTGGTCATTTTCGTCACAATTTGAGCAGGAAATTCATATTTTTGAAATATGCCGAATTTTGTCAATTGGAGGTACATACTGAAAAAGTACCAAATTCTTCTGTACTGAATTTCTCAGAAATGTACTGTAAAAGTACTGTTACTTAAAGTACTGATTTTTGGCCAGCCAATTTTAGTAGACACGTTGATAGTCCTTTTCTCAAGAGCATATGCTATGAAAAACAAACAAATTATTCTTTATTTGCACAAACAATTTGAAAACATTTGACTTAAACTCAATTCATGAGGATAGAAAAAATTTTGAATTTGGATTTTCTGCTCGTAGATTCAAAATAATCAATCCTTCAAGATGCCAGCTCTAAGTTTAACTTAGATAGATACAAAATACTGTTTTGCAAATATATTTACTTAATAAAGTTTTTAATGGAGAACGATTCACTGTTTAAGTGATTGATAACAGCAGTAAAAATCGAAAAATATCAGATTATCAAAAGAAAATATCAGAATAAACAAAAAATTAACATTTCTCCAATTATAAGCAGTTTTCAAGTATTCTGTATGTCACAAGGAGCACCTCTTTTATCTTCAAGTTGAATCAGAGTTGTTCTTTTTTGGAATTTACAGCCAAAGAAACAAGGTCACGGTGGTTGTGGTCGCTACCAGCCAAATATCCGACGAGCAGGGCTAGATTTGACTGCTGAGTGGAAACATGTGAATGAAGATTCACAAGAAAAGAAGATCCCATTAACTGCAGAACGAGTGTGGGAGATTTTGAAACACATCATCGATGAAGAGTGTCTAATTTTGGGTATGGATCCTCGCTATGCTCGCCCAGATTGGATGATCGTCACAAGTCTCCCTGTGCCTCCTTTGTCAGTTAGACCAGCTGTTGTTATGCATGGCTCAGCCAGAAATCAGGTAATTTTAAGCAAAATTATATTCTGTAGTTAAAACAACCAAACGATAGTCAAATTAATTTGACTGCCATGCTAGTTCTTCCTGGCATGTTTGCTTTAAACTGCTTTAAGTATTACAGTAGTAATTATTGTTAATTGCTACTTAAATTAACTTGTTCATAAGACAGTATTAGTAATGTCTTATGAACAAGTTAATCCCAATTTAGATAGTCTCAATGTATTTTTCAATCTGCAACATGTGTAGATGCAAGTCGATTTTTAACTCTCCTTATCTTCCTTTTTTTTTGTAGTATGAAGTCCAGAGACGCAAAACGCACAAAATTCTTAAATAAATCTTATGATTAAGAGTAAAAACAGAAAGCCCAAGGCTAGTTCCATGTTAGAAGACCAAAATTTCAGTATTTTAAATAATTTCAAGTAGTAAAAAATAATACTTACCATGTGATTATATAGCTGTTTGGTACAGTAAATTTTCTGTGAAAGACAATTTCAAGATCTAAGGTCATCAAATGAGAAATCATAAAAAATAACAACTCAATAGAACCTTTTCGATGATTTAATGTGAGAAACCTGTACCCCCTATGGTTTGCCTCGGAGAAGACTTGCCTCAAAACATAACAAACTTCTAATTTAGATTATTTTTTTTTCAGGATGATTTGACTCACAAGCTGTCAGACATCATCAAATGCAACAATGAGCTTATTCGAAACGAAAAAGCTGGAGCCTCAGCTCATGTCATCAGTGAAAATATAAAAATGCTCCAGTTCCATGTGGCAACTCTAGTAGATAATGACATGCCTGGTCTCCCAAGAGCCATGCAGAAGTCAGGAAAACCTCTCAAAGCCATTAAGTCACGTCTGAAAGGAAAGGAAGGTCGGATTCGAGGAAACTTGATGGGGAAGCGTGTGGATTTCTCCGCAAGAACTGTCATCACACCAGATCCCAATCTGCGTATCGATCAAGTCGGTGTTCCTAGGTCTATAGCTCAAAATCTTACATTCCCCGAAATAGTCACACCTTTCAATTTTGATAAAATGAAAGAGTTAGTCCACAGAGGAAATTCCCAGTACCCTGGAGCCAAATATATTGTGCGAGACAATGGTGAGCGTATCGATTTGAGGTTCCACCCGAAATCATCAGATTTGCATTTACAGTGCGGCTACAAAGTCGAAAGGCATATCCGCGATGGTGATCTCGTTATTTTCAACCGGCAGCCCACTCTCCACAAAATGAGTATGATGGGTCACCGTGTCAAAGTACTACCATGGTCTACTTTCCGTATGAACTTGAGTTGTACGTCACCATACAACGCTGATTTCGACGGTGATGAAATGAACCTGCATGTACCTCAATCCATGGAAACGAGGGCAGAGGTGGAAAACCTCCACGTCACCCCGCGACAAATTATCACGCCGCAAGCCAACAAACCTGTCATGGGTATTGTGCAGGATACGCTCACTGCAGTTAGGAAAATGACAAAACGTGATGTGTTCCTAGACAAAGATCAAATGATGAATATCCTTATGCATTTACCAATTTGGGACGGAAAAATGCCCCAACCTTGCATTCTGAAGCCGAGGCCTCTTTGGACGGGAAAGCAGGTCTTCTCACTGATCATTCCCGGTAACGTAAATATGATTCGAACTCACTCAACACATCCTGATGATGAAGATAACGGACCTTATAAATGGATCTCACCTGGAGACACAAAAGTAGTTGTAGAACACGGTGAATTAGTCATGGGTATCCTGTGCAAGAAAACACTCGGTACTTCCGCCGGTTCATTGCTTCACATTTGTATGTTGGAACTGGGTCACGAAGTTTGCGGTCGGTTCTACGGTAACATTCAGACTGTCATCAACAACTGGTTGCTGCTGGAAGGTCACTCCATTGGTATCGGAGACACAATTGCCGATCCTCAAACTTACGTTGAAATCCAGAGAGCCATCAAGAAAGCCAAAGCTGATGTGATAGAAGTCATTCAAAAAGCCCACAACATGGATCTCGAGCCGACACCCGGTAACACTTTGAGGCAGACATTCGAAAATCAAGTAAACAGGATCTTGAACGATGCTCGTGACAAAACTGGAGGTTCTGCCAAGAAATCATTGACTGAGTACAACAATCTCAAAGCTATGGTCGTCTCAGGTTCCAAAGGATCAAATATTAACATTTCCCAGGTTATTGCTTGTGTAGGTCAGCAGAACGTTGAAGGTAAACGTATTCCTTTCGGTTTCCGTAAAAGAACGCTGCCTCACTTCATCAAAGACGATTATGGTCCTGAGTCAAGAGGGTTCGTCGAAAACTCATATCTTGCTGGTCTGACCCCATCTGAGTTCTATTTCCACGCTATGGGAGGTCGTGAAGGTCTTATTGATACTGCTGTCAAAACTGCTGAGACTGGTTACATCCAGCGTCGTCTGATCAAGGCTATGGAGTCTGTCATGGTAAATTATGACGGAACAGTCCGTAATTCAGTTGGACAATTGATTCAGTTACGTTATGGAGAAGACGGACTTTGCGGAGAAGCAGTCGAGTTTCAGAAGATAGCAACAGTTGACTTGTCACACAAAGCGTTTGAGGATGGCTTCAAATTTGACCCATCTAATGAAAGGTGAGAAAACAATTCAGTTCATTTTGAACCATCTAATTATTTTTCAAGCACAAAATGCCACTCTCAGAAAAATTATTACCTTATTTTTTACTCACTCTCAGGGTCTTATTTTCTGTTGTCAACCATCTTCTTAGGTTCAATATTTGTATTAATCACAGTCGAAATTTTAAGGTTTCCAGACGTATTTATCTCAGGTTTATTTTATTCTCATGTAGTATTTGGGCTTCAAGTCAGGTGAAGAGCCACCGGTTGTACTTCCAATTTTTAATTTTCGATTAAAATTTGAAAAATTAATAAAGAGACAGATTTATTAGTTACATTAATGAAGATTTTGCCCAAGAAAATTCATTACAATGATCAGTGCATTCATCCAGGAAAATGTCTGCTTCAAAATGAGAATGTTGTTAAGCACACCATTGGGGATTTTTCAGGGTCTAATCTCTAGTCTCATTTTTATCATGTTGATAAATTTGTTAAATCATACAAATTATTTATTTGAATGTGTACTAATCAAGTATTTGATTTTCAGGCACTTGCGAAGAATATTTAATGAAGACATCTTGAAAGAACTCATGGGCAGCGGTGAAGTCATCTCAGAATTAGAAAAAGAATGGGAACAGCTAAGCCGAGATCGTGAAGCTCTGCGACAAATCTTCCCCTCTGGAGAAACGAAAGTCGTACTCCCGTGCAACTTGAAACGTATGATTTGGAATGTACAGAAAATTTTCCACATCAACCAACGTGCACCTACAGATCTCAGTCCTTTGAAAGTTATTCAAGGTAAAAATTTTAGTACCATGTACTTGAACAAGATTTTTTTCCCAATGATTTATTATTCAAAAACCACTGTTTAAGTCGGTGTTTTGATGAACTGTCATAGTGTTTTAAACTCCCATTAAAAGTAAAATGACATTCATATTACGAAAATATTGAAATACAAATAAAAATTGAAAATATGGTAAATTTATCAACAGTTCTTTGAAATGGAGATGTTGCTGGCAAATAGTGAAATCAGGCATTTTGTCAAATGCCTAGGCAAAATTTTGTGAATTAATGGCTAAGAGCTCACGAGTTTTCACTATTTTTGGAAAAATAACTCATCAAACCTACAAACTCTTTTGGGCTCTTCTTCCTCATAATCGCTTCTCATATTTTTAAATGTTGAAATTCTAAAAATTCCGTATTTAATGACATGCTGAAATTTTCAAGATACTAGTCTTTTCAGGAGCTAAAAATTGTTTAAAATACTATTGTGTGATGCATATTTTTACTGAGAATTTTTTTCTACTGGAGCAATAAATTATTTTGTCTAAAATTAGGAAAAGAATCAGAATTTCAATCTAAGTTAGCATATTTATCTATCTGCCTAGGCATTCGACAAAATTCCTGATTTTACTATTTGCCTGCGACAGAGACATCCTTTTAAAATATGGATCGTATTCAATAGTGGTTCAATGCATCATTTTGTTCAAAACAATAGAACGTAACCTCAAACCACAATTTTAAGATATTTGTCAGAAAAGCAGATACTGAGAAATTTCGGAGCAATTTCACTACTCTTGGCCAATTACTACTCATGTGAATAAAAAATCTATCACGAAAAACCCGTTCCGGCAGATTTCTTAATTGACTTTTGATACAATGTTTATGTTTTGAACCAATCGATATCTATACAATCCAGGGTGGCAAGCGTCAGGGAAAACCGGGAAAACCGGGAATTGTCAGGGAATTTTGAGTGACCGGGAAAAGTCAGGGAAATGTCAGGGAATTATTGCCGCGGTCAGGGAATTTTCGTAGCGCATCAGCGCATCTTATGAACTAACGTGTACATTACGTAGCAAACAGAGTTCCGTCCCTCCTCCACATGGCAACAGTGTTCCACGATCGGTCATTTCCGTCCGACTCCGTTGGGTGTCGTTCCTTTTCGTCGGTCCCCCACTCCTCCGTCATCGTTGTGACTTACCAACCTATGCACACTAAAAGAATGATCCTGTCGGTTATTTCGTTGCGCCCGGCGGCTTTCGGTAGGGGGAACTAACAGAAACACGCGCGGATCGGGAATCGTTGACAACCGTGTACCAATAAAAACAATTTTATTAATAACCTCGAGTCAGGTCCGCGCAGATCGTGGCGTATACTATGCATAGTTCGAATCTGCCGTGTTTTGGTAGAAAACATGTAAGGTTGGTGCAACTGCATGGCTGGGCGGTGAAATCCTCCTAACCTAACATCGTAAATGAAGTGGTGCTGGTGCTGAACCAAAGACATAAAGACGGAGCACTAAAAGCAAAAAATGAAGCTTCTAGAGCTTCTTTTCAATCACCTCTACTATTGGCTAGAGGATTGGCGGCGAAATCGGGACAAGTTTGAATTCAAATGTAGGGCGGGAACTAATAAATAAAATTGCGGAAACAAAGTATTTTAGGTTGATTTTTGCCCAAATTCAGGTACACACTCATATTTTATTAACTTTAGGTTAGTTTCGGTCCGTCGTCGACCGACTGATTTCATTTGGGAGTAACGTAGATCTAGAACTGTAACGGCCTGTTTGAACCTGCAGAACCACCATACGCAGAAGAAAAACTAACTTTATCTGAGATTACTGCCTGTTACCGAGCAAAAGTAGGTGTATTATATTAGGACGCAGACCGAACTTTCTTAGTATATTCGTTTTAGGAATTTAAAATACGTTTCAAAGAAGAAATGTGCATAAATCAAGAGGACAAGTTCAAAGTTCAAATCAAATTTCCGTTTGCCGCCATGGATTCCCGCGCTCATTTACGCACTCACACAAGCGCGCAGCGCCGAACCTAGCTTCACTTTTTCCCCGTGCTTTTAGATACGAGCGCTCCGTCTTTATGTCTTTGTGCTGAACTGAACTGTCCGAATTTCGGGTATTCTTGTTCACTCATACTCAGATCATTACTACTTTTATGATTTCATTGATCTGTTGTTCTAAATGTGTCTCTTCTAAATGCATTAAGTGCATTAATTTGTTTCAATATAAGTGCTAGTTTCTTGATCTCCCAGACCTATAAGTTTATTTGTTCCTTTCAATTTAATAAATTTATGAACTTTTTTCTGTGTTCAAAATCTTGTTTTCTTGCTTTCTGTTTTTGCTCCCTCATACCATGTTCAGCATCTTTCTACAAAGTACTCCCTGAATGGCTAGTGTTATTATCTTAGGACGAAATTTTGTAGCTATTACGGCACAATCTCATAGCTTTTGCAGCTGACCGATTTCAGTGATTTTAATACAGAGACTGATTCATCGTACGCCACTCCTTCCCTTTCATACATTATTAAGAAGTTAAATGAAAATTTAAAATTTTAATTAATGTGTGTAATTTTTTTTTTCTGAATTTTCTTTGATTGTGAAATGGTTATCTCTTTTTATCAAAATAAGTTAAAGATGTGCATTCCAGGCTATAATTCATTCAATTATTCAGCACCGAATTTACCCACAACATTCTGAGTGCAACTGCGCGTCGATGACTTTAAAAAGTCAGGAAATTTAATCGTATTCAGAAAAAGTCGCGGTCTCTTGCCTACAAAAAGTCAGGGAATTTTATTGTAAAGTCAGGGAAAAGTCAGGGAATTTTGAAATTGAACTTGACTTGCCACCCTGCAATCTCACCCGTTTGATGTATCAAATACGATCTATCATAATGGCAAATAAATTAAACATGAAAAAAGAATTTTCCTTTGCATCGGTAGAAAAATTTTCTTCATTTCTTGGTCATTGTCTCCAAGAGAAAACAGTTCCAAGAACCTGTTTCAAGGATTTGTTTCTCATCTAAATTGTTTTTCCCTCTTTAGCTATTTCATTTTACTGATTGTTTGGTGTGTTGTGTTTGCAGGTGTGAAAGAATTATTAGAGAAATGTATCATAGTGGCTGGAGAAGATCAGCTGAGTAAGCAAGCCAATGAAAACGCTACCCTGCTCTTCCAGTGTTTAGTCCGGTCAACCTTATGCACAAAGTTAGTGTCAGAGAAATTCCGACTTTCATCAGAAGCCTTCGAATGGTTGGTGGGAGAAATCGAAAACAGATTCCAACAAGCTCAGGTTAGTATTGTCACATCCTAATCTATGCAAGTTTTATTTCTTTGCAAGTCTCCGCAGTTCCTTAGAACTTTGCAAAACGTTACTATTAGGTACAAACTGGTGAAAAAATATTTGTCTAAAATTTATCGCTAATTTTGCCTGGACCGGTGTAACAAAGTCGTAACAATAAATAGGAGTTACGTTCTACAAGGGATTCTAAATTGTTTTTCGATTTTGTTCAGGCAAGTATTTGAATTTTTTTAGGTTAAGAAAGAAAAGAGAATCTGAATAGTAATGTACTCAAACTCACAAAATAAATTCAAGTGGGTTTAAGTTTTTTAATTTTCCGGTTCTCTTTTTTTTCTTATCCATCCTAAAGCTCTTTGCCTTGTTTTTTCCATTAGTGTCAGTTTTCTCGTCTTGTTTCTTTTGGACGCATACGTTTTAAAGGTTATTTTATTAGGTAGGGATAGTTGGAATGAACTACTGATTAGATTGTTAGGGAAATTTTCTTGTGTTAAAAGAGTGTCAATGAATTGTAAAAGTCTGAATATGAGTTCAATTGCTGCCATTTCATTTCCTGTTTGAATCAACGAAATTGTTTGTCAGTTTGATGCCTTTTTTTGTATTTCTGTAAATTAGAGCATTTTAACACTGCTCACATTTTTCGATAGAATCAGAATAAATCTTTAAAAAACACAGGAATGGTGGGATTTGACTTGACTTGAATTAATGATGTTAAATTTTTGTTTGTTTTTGATTTCAGTGTTCCCCTGGTGAAATGGTTGGAGCTTTGGCTGCTCAAAGTTTAGGTGAGCCTGCCACTCAGATGACACTGAACACTTTCCATTTTGCTGGTGTATCTTCAAAGAACGTAACCCTTGGTGTACCCAGGCTCAAGGAAATTATCAACATCAGTAAAAAACCAAAGGCTCCCTCTTTGACTGTTTTCTTGACTGGAGCTGCAGCCCGTGATGCCGAAAAAGCCAAAAATGTTCTCTGTCGCCTTGAACACACCACGCTAAGAAAAGTAAGTCAATTTGAAACAAATTCTTGTTTCGCAGATGGAGGGAAATAACTTTATTTTTAACTTTGAGGAATTTCTGTTCGCAAATTGTGTTTTCACTCAAAAACTGTTGAGTATTCCAACTGGAAACTTCTATGACTTCTCTTCTGACTGCATGCAAAAATCAACAAAATTTTAAACACAAATTGCACGGTCATACTCTTGTAAATAATCAAATTTTTTTTTTCAATTTGGCAGACTTGGATTCAGTGTCATGGTCCGAGTTGACACTTATTACCTTGATTAAAATGTGACCTTTAAGAACCTTTAATTGAGAAAGATGAAGATTTGTGCACTTTAATTAATAAATAGGATTTTAAAAGAGATTTTCTCTAGAAAATTTAGTAAGCATCACTCACTCATTGACCAGGTAACCAAAATATCGCTCCTGGAGAATTAAGGTTCCTTTCTTTGCAGACTATTCTGAATAATATTTACTCTTTTATGCTTTTTGAAAGAATTGTAGGTAAGAAATTAGATTTTGCCGGTCTGTACTTCATTTTGTTCAATGTCAACAGGTCCTCAGAAATCTCTCTGTCTGTAGTTTATTTTTGGTGTCTCATTAAGTTTTAATTTTTTACGAAACCACCCCACTTATACTCAATTTTTTTCTCCCGCAGGTGACTGCCAACACAGCGATCTACTATGATCCAGACCCTCAGAATACTGTCATTCGTGAGGATCAAGAATTCGTCAATGTCTATTATGAAATGCCTGACTTTGACCCCACTCGAATTTCTCCCTGGTTGTTGCGTATTGAGCTGGACCGAAAGAGAATGACTGGTAAGATAATCCTACTTCAAATTTTTTGTACATCTATTGAGTGGACCAAGTTTAATAGGAACGCACCAAGTTGCATTTGAAAAAAAAGTGAGCCGTGAGTGGTTTTGAATTCAACTAGTAAATTTTCTCCTGTTAGAAATTCAGTTTCGAGAAAAACTATTTTGAATGTAATAGTAGTCGTTGAACTTAGTCACTAATATTGAGTTTAACGGAGGAATCAAACTTCCAACCTCCTTTCCTTGGTCCAACCTTAATACAACTTGATGCTTTTATCTTAAATTTGGGTGCTCAAATGATGTAAGCTATGCCTTTATAAAGTAGAGTTGAACTGGCTATAAGTGATGCCTGAAATTCTGAAAAATTGGTGTAACCATAAATTCTATTTCGACGGTGCATCTAGCAGATTACTGATGCTATGATTAATCTTTATAACTTTTAAACAATTTTAAATGGTGCCTAAGAATCATGCTTATTATGCCCCAGGCTCATCTGGCTATATTGCTCCTAAAATTTTCAGATGAAGTGAGTTTCTACAAATGTAAACATAATTTTTCCAAAAATATTTTTTTACACTCATTATTTTGTTTTTCTATTTTTGAAAATTTTGATGTTAAAAAAATATGAGTTACCTGACAGACGCCAAGTTGATGTTATTTATTCTGATTTCAATGACAACGCATTTCTTCCGTTTTACAGATAAGAAACTGACGATGGAAGCAATTTCCGAAAAAATCAACGCAGGTTTTGGTGATGATCTCAATTGTATTTTCAATGATGACAACGCAGAGAAATTAGTGCTGCGAATTCGTATCATGAACAGTGATGACAACAAACTTCAGGATGAAGAAGACACAGTCGACAAAATGGAAGATGATATGTTCTTGCGGTGCATAGAAGCAAACATGTTGTCTGACATGACACTTCAGGTATATATTTTATGCTTTGTTCTATTTACTTACTTAATTATTTTTTATATTCATACTTTTTCTCTTGCAAAGAATCATTAACTTACTTGTGATTAATGGCTAAGCCCTGACTAACCTCTTGAAACAGAAATTAAAGGAATTTCCTAATTGTATGTAGTGATCAGGTAGTTAAATTATTCATTTTCTGACATTAAATTTATTCTAGAATTATTTGAACAATCATATGAGAGTGCCGGAAATCCTCCATATTGAGATTTTTTATTTTGTTTCAACGTGAAAAAAAAAGCACAGAATATTCTTAATAATTTATCAGATTAAGTTTGATTAAGGATAGCATTTTATTTCTGATTTATTTTAACTTGTCATAGTTTCTCAAAACATGATTCCGCTCAAAATTTGAATTAACTGGAAACGTATCCTTACAATAACATTTTTCTGACATGATTTCTTTCAGGGTATCGAAGCAATCAGTAAAGTGTACATGCACTTGCCGCAAACAGATTCAAAGAAAAGAATTGTTGTCACGGAAACAGGAGAATTCAAAGCCATTGCAGATTGGTTGTTGGAAACTGATGGTACCAGTCTCATGAAAGTCCTCAGTGAGCGTGATGTTGATCCTGTTCGAACTTTCTCAAACGACATCTGTGAAATCTTCGCTGTAAGATATCATTCTCCCCAATCATATCTATACTTCATTTATCTTTTAAAAACATTTTATGTTCAATTGGTTTAACCTGTTTAATGCTGATGCATTATTGCGAAATTGATCTTCGACTAGAAAAACTACAGTTTCTGCTCCTTATGTGAGTCAGCAAAGTTAAGGTGCTGGCGCTGGGCGAATTTGTAGGCGAATTTCGGCGTGCAAATGAATCGACCAGCGGATCGCCCTACACGAATAGCACGCAACACCTGCTCTCGGAGCAGTGTTGCGTCCAATTTGCTGCCGAAATTTGACTAGCAAACGCTTAGGGGAATCGCATCTTTAGAGCGTTATTTCATAGTACATGAGAGCTTTCCATTTTAGTTTCTTGATCTCAACTATCAGTAGTTCTTTAAGAAAGCATAGAACCATAGTGGTTCAAAATGTCATTACTGATGTATAGCTAACGCTGTGTTAGTCTCTGAAGGAGGGTTGTAACGAAAAAATCAATCATATGCATTCAGCCCTGAAGTAACAAGGATGGTGATTTGCGTCAACCAAAACAAGTTCAAATGAGCATTTGATGTTCCTCTTAAGGATCTGCACATATTTTTGAAAGTTCTCCCTGAGTTTTTCCTCTAAGTAGTCTTGTCCTCACTAATTTTGTGCATTTTTCATCAGGTACTTGGTATCGAGGCTGTGCGAAAGTCCGTAGAAAAGGAAATGAACACTGTCCTGCAGTTCTATGGTCTTTACGTGAACTATCGTCATCTTGCCTTGTTGTGTGACGTCATGACAGCCAAAGGTCACTTGATGGCCATCACCCGTCACGGTATTAACAGACAAGATACTGGAGCTCTTATGAGGTAATTTAACGCCTGCCTCGTTGAAACACCCTATGTTAACAATTCAATTGAAGCTATTTTGCAGGGAAATTTATCATTCTAATATTAATTTTATCAGGAAAAGTACAGTTTTAGAATTTCCTGTCATGTGTGAAATTTTCTAGATTTTTAAAGTTAGTTTAATGATATTTCAGAACAATTTAGGGCCATTGATGATCATTTTACGTCACCAAACTTTCAGACTCATTATTTCTGGATATAATCGCTATAATTTGACTATCTACATTTTGCAGGAAAAGTGATATCTTCACTCTAGAATTATGAGATGACAAAAAATGGTGTTTACCAGGATGCTTGAAAGTACCATTTTAGAAAATTGCCTTGTATTTTCCAAGCAAACAATGTTACTGTCTTCAACTCTCAAATAAATGAAAAAAAGGAGAAATTTGCAGTTTCATGAGCCTTAATTTGAAATCATATTTTGATATACACGGATTTGCTATTATCTGAAAAAAAAGAAGGGTGTTAGTGAATATTTCATAAAATATTTTACAGTGAAGGGTGCTCAGTTTTTAATTCCTTTTATTTTTTGCACAGGTGTTCTTTTGAAGAAACAGTTGATGTCTTGATGGACGCTGCATCTCACGCTGAAGTAGACCCCATGAGAGGTGTGTCCGAGAACATCATCATGGGCCAGCTTCCAAGAATGGGAACAGGATGTTTCGATTTGCTCCTCGACGCTGAGAAGTGTAAGGCTGGTATTGAGATTCCAATGAACATTGGTGCCGGCATGATGTCAGGAGCAGGCATGTTCTTTGGATCAATGGCCACGCCGTCAATGAGTCCTCAGATGACCCCATGGAACGTTGGCGCCACACCTGGCTACGGCAGTGTATGGTCACCAGGTAAGATAATGTTTTTATCTTATTTTTTATGGGGGAGTTTGCAGGTAGAGGTCTAGCACCTTCTTGTGCTGGTGTGCAGGGATGACAAATTTCATGGAACATTACAAAATTAAGTTTCATAATTAGATTTCATGAAATGTTCTGCAATGGACTTAGTCTGCCATGAAATGCATAAAAACAGCCAAATCATCATTTTGAAATGGGGAAAAAAAAAATCGTGAAAATAATGATGAAGTCCAACAAATTCTCGAGTAACCAGTGGTTGTTGCATAAGCAGCCCCCTGAAAAATCGTTGAAATTTCGTGGTAATAGACATTTCACTTTCTATCAAAATTAACGTCTCTGAAATTTCATTTTGCATCTCTGAGTGTCAATATATTATTTTTAACTTCTATAAAATGCTTTTTATTATATTTTTAGGGTAGTTAACCAATTTTCATTCTTGACCTAGTTCAAAAAATTTTATTCCATGGAATTACTCAAACCAGAAGAAAAATTAAATGAGAATTGTTCCTACAATCATTAATGTTATTTAAATTATTATTCAGTGGTGGAGAGAAGCATTGTACTGGTTCAATATCATATCTTGTAGAGATTGTCTTGGTCAGGGCCTATTGTGAGAGCACAAGAACCAATTTATTGGAAAAATCGTGTAAATTATATGAAAACACACTCCAAAAATCTGAAGAAGAAATTAAGATATTCTCACTCTTGGAACTTTTTCCCCAAGTTATTAGTGAAATAAAAATTCCCAGAAAATAAACGAAGAAAATAATTTAGATTGAGCAGGCATGGATTTAAACAACAATATTTTTTTTTTGTTTCAGCCGTCGGCAGTGGTATGACTCCTGGCGGTCCCAACTTCTCACCCAGTGGTTCAAGCGATGCCAGTGGAATGTCACCTGGTTACGCATGGAGTCCAACCCCTGGTAGTCCTGGCTCTCCCGGTCCAGCGATGAGTCCGTTCATTCCCAGCCCTGCGAGTGGAATGTCACAGAGCTACTCACCCTCTAGCCCAGCGTACGCTCCTACTTCACCAAGTATGACACCAACGAGTCCCAACTACTCGCCCACATCTCCTTCCTACTCCCCGACTTCACCCAACTATTCTCCCACGTCGCCGAGTTATTCCCCAACATCTCCAAGTTATTCACCAACATCCCCAAGCTACTCGCCGACATCGCCATCTTACTCCGCCTCACCATCTTATTCCCCAACGTCACCCAGTTATTCTCCAACGTCACCTAGTTACTCACCAACCTCTCCATCCTATTCCCCAACCTCTCCATCCTATTCACCAACTTCTCCAAGCTACTCGCCGACATCACCATCGTATTCTCCCACTTCTCCAAGTTATTCACCGACCTCACCGAGCTATTCGCCAACCTCACCTTCTTATTCACCAACTTCTCCCAGTTACACACCCACTTCCCCATCGTATTCTCCTTCCTCTCCTTCATATTCATTGTCTTCACCTCAGTATTCACCATCGTCACCAGCATCCCCGTCTTACTCCCCAACATCCCCCAAGTACTCGCCAACGTCTCCTTCGTACTCCCCCGCATCGCCCAGTTTCGTCTCCAGTCCTCAGTACACTCCGGTGTCGCCACAATATTCACCCACAAGTCCAACATATTCGCCAACGTCTCCGTCATACTCACCAACTTCGCCTTCCTATTCACCGAGCTCGCCTCAGCATTCTCCGGGAGGTGCTTCGCATTATTCTCCCTCGTCACCGAAATACTCGCCGACGTCTCCCACTTATTCACCAACGAGTCCGCAGTATTCACCGTCAAGCTCAAAATATTCCCCAACGTCACCAACATACACACCCACAAGTCCCAATTACTCACCTACTTCACCAACTTATTCACCTAGTGTTCCTGGCTATTCTCCTACTTCACCAACGTATTCACCCACGTCACCAAATTAATCTACCCGTGAAGGTGTGTAAATATAAGTGTATATTTTTCTGTACAAACGTTCCTCTGTTGAGCATAAATTTTATGCCAGGGGTCTTGTGGGTTGAAATTTTAAGTGATGAAATCGACTGAAGCATTTATTAGGACTTGTCCATGTGTGACGAATGCGCCATGGTTCTGTTCTTAACCAGTAATTGGAAGTGTCCATTGTTACTCCAGCCATTGTAAATGGCTTAGTCTATACCCAGATAATATTCTTATCCTCAATTTCTTGATTAGAACTTTAAAATATCGCAAGTTTAAAATAGTCAAGGTATAGATTTAGCTACAGTTAAGTGAAATGTAGTTAAATATTTCAAAGGGACTCATAGTCAATGATGACTTCATAATAAATTATTTTTCAAAAAATTCTGTTGTGGACAGTGCAGTCCGTTTCGAGGTTCTATAGCAAAGATGAGCAAAAATTCGTTCATTTATTGACTTAAAAACACTTTATTTTCACAAATTCATATTTAAATGTTGTATGAAACAATTCTTAAATTTTAACATCTTACAACTAACAAATTCAGATTGTTAGAAAATCAATAGAAGTACAATAAACTAAAATCTTACAAAATCTAATTAAATTATACGAAGGGAGATACTGTTGAAAGAAGAATGGCTGTAAGTAATTATTTTACGACAAATGTACCATTCGCATATCTAAAAATAATCATTGTTGTCTTACTTCACCATTTCTAAAGCTGTTCAGCTGTCGCTTTTAGTGATTTGAAATGATAAAAATATTAAAACTTTTATGCTATTTCATCTCTGTTTTCGCTGTAATAATTTCTTCTCTGTCAAACTTAAAATAATGGTAACACTCTTTCATAATTTTGGGTATTTTCTTTTTGGTGCTTATTTCTTGCAACATACGTTCATCTCAAAACAGAAGAACAAGATGAATTGTTTAAGTAAGTACCCTGAAGAAATATTTTCCAGGGTTTTTTTTCCCTTTCCGTTTTCTGTGAAGAAAAATTCCCTTGTTCCTTGGGAAAGCTCAACATGCTAAAAAATGTTGATAAATCAGGAGAACTCAAGGTGCTGTTACTTTTTGACACAATTTTATGAAAAATTGAGCCTTATTCATTTGTGACCAGCTTTGAAAAATTAATCAATGCCTATGACAGATAGATAACGTTCTGAATAAAGCAAGTTATCTAGTTTGTTTTTGTACTTTTTGAAGTTTTTTGGCTCCCTCTCTACCTCCTTTTTGGCAATCCGTCAATGGCTATTTCTAATCCGTGAATCATATGAATGGGTTTGAAAAGTAGTTTTTACTTTAAATGCCTATTTTATTGCTGTAGACTAAATATATCCTCTTTCTGTCGGAGGAGAAGAAACATCTGGTTTTTTTATGACTGCTACAAAGTTTATCTTTTTTTTTTCTTTTTTTTCAATTTTTTATCCTTATCAAAAAATTTCTGGGTGAAAACCACTCAACTATTCTTTTTAATTTATTTTATTAAATTAGTTAATTTTTGTACTGAAGTCAAAATGTGACTATAGTTTTTTATGTTAAATCTCTTGGACTTTAAGTACTGTAAATTTTTGTATTCATCCTTTTTGTTTTGTACATATTAATTTTGAAAATGTTTTGAATATACTTATTTTAATTCTTAAAAAACCAAGTTTTTGTGATTTACCAAATCCTCAAAATTTCCTCTCTTGCACAAAATACTTTCTTTGCAAGTGCGCATGCATAAAAGAGTGCTTATCAATTCAATTGATCACACCTTCATTTTTAAAAAATGCATAAGTGTCAGGTCTTGTTTTCATTTCAAGAAAACTTCTTATTTTGATGAATTTTAGGGACAAACCAGAAAATAAAAAGCTGTGTTACATTAATAATTAAATGTATGTATTTGCAATTTCACAAATGAATGATTGTCAATTCAACACTCTTTCGATTTTAGTCGAAGGTAACAAAACGATGCAGAAACAGAAGAAGCTACGTATCATGATGCAGTTTCATAGTCTCACTCTTATCTTGGTATTTATATTGAATTTTCTTTTTTTTCGATTTTTCTCTAAAGCGAAAGAAAACAAACAGTTGACGCTTTCACATTTTACACCTATTATTTCAAGTTTCTTTCATTGGAAGAAGAATGTCTCTAAATGTAGCAAAATATTCCTTGCCCCAAGAAGAGCATTCTCCAAAATTATGTGACATGAAAGCTACCATGGCCATCAGGATTCATAGCCTCTTCGTTTTGTCAACCATCATAAATCCGAGTCCAAATGCAAAAGACTTCCGAATTTAGCTTCTGTGCATAACAGCTGAGGTATGGTGAGATTTTGTTCCTGTACTCTTATAATGGGAACAGAGGTTCGATTTTGAGCATGATTAAGTTGAATCTCTCAGTCCAAGACCAGAGAGAATCTAATTGAAGGCTGCATGGACTTGTCGATAACGGTATTCACAAGTCATCTGGGTCGATTCCAGTGTCAACAAAGTCCTTCACTGCCTGAATGAACTTGCCAGGGAGCAGCCTGCAAGAAGAAGGAGAAAATCAAGTTATAGTTAGTTTTAGTAGTGACCTTAGACCGAATTTTTGAGAGGGGGGTCACCAAATCATTGTTTATTTAACTGCAAAAGATTCAAAATCAGTCAAGATCACAATCAGCAAGAAGTCAACATGATCATTATCCTGCACTTACTGACTTACATCAGCTGCATCAATTGGACTACGTTTTGCAATTTGGAACTATAAATTCCAGCCCAGTTTAAAAACAACGTATATGCCATTGGTTTCCCAAGGCACTTAAGTGTTTTTCCAGAAGAGCCAGAATTTATAGTTCCAAATTGCAAAATGTAGTCCAATTGTTCCTTGCTTGAACTGCAAGCATTTCCATTCTTAAAATTAAATCCATTTACCTCCTGGTATCATTGGCTGGATTTCACTGCAAAGTGAGTATTCAACACCTCACCCTCACAATTAATTCTTATCCTTACTTCATTTGAAAACCTGAAAATGTCTTCAATTTTCATCAATGATCTACAAAATATAAGGTAGGGTGAAGGGGTGGTATAATAAAGACACGCATCTCGGTTTAGAGTAGGACTTTTTTCAGCTGCCGTACAATTTCAGTTAGAGAAGCGTTGTGTGTTTTCGGTTTTTCAGTCGACCAGGTCAGTTAAGAGCGCCTTCGCCGAAAATTATCAATAGCATCAAGCAAATATTTTAACTCTCTGGAGACCAAATTGCACACCCAACGAAATGAAGGAAACTTCAGTGCGTCCAGTTCCGCACGGAATCGCTCATGGCTACACCCGCTCCTTCACTGAATGTAGAGATCACCTATAGCAACTATTTTAACTCTCCGGAGATTAAATTGCATACCCTCTAAAATGAAGGAAACTTGGGTGAATCGAGTTCCACGCGGTCTGATGGTTTCGTTAATGGCGCTGCGCGCGCCTTCATTCTATGCACAGTAGCGGCGAGCAACTATATTAACTCCCCGGAGATGAAATTGCATACCCCCCAAAATGAAGGAAATTTCCGTGAGCCCGGTTTTCTATTACTGCAAAGATTGGTTGAGGGCACCGCGTCACTTTGCGCCACTACTACTAACTAAAATCTATTTTTTTTTTTTTAAAGAAAAAATTGTAAACCTCATACAATCCCTCAAGCTACCATATTAATTCCTTGGAGATGAAATTGCATATCTGTTGAAATCTTCCCCATTCTAAGCCCCGTCATATGCGCTTTTTTCAGGCAATCTTTAACCGATTACGTTTTTCGCTTAATACCTAATAGTGAGTTAAAAGGGAACAAAATGAGCTGTAGGTATCCCTACTCTTTCCCGTACATCTCAGGTGCCAATGGAGCCTAAACACTGATTGTGAGTTGCCAAACTTCTCAATTTTTTTCACAAAAAAGTACTGCACAGTACTAATTGAAAATACCAATCATCAATCTCATAATCAAAATTGGACCTCATCTGCATTTGGGAACTAAAATTTCTGTCTCATCCGTAAAAACACTTATATGCGTCGGGAAACTAATGTTACATGCGTTTTTCTTTTTAACAAAAAATTTAGCCTGAAATTGTACTTCCTAATTGCAAAATGTAGTCTAATTCGTCCCTGAAATTTTTACATGAGTAGATAAGTGCAAAATTTCTAAGGCAAAAATGAAAATAATTTTTTTTGTCCTACCACGAAGTATCAAAGCCAAAATAAGTAGTTCTGCTGGGAAAGATGAGGTTTGGTGCGGGTGTGGAATACTGCAGTGCTACGGAAGAACGCCGTATGAACATTTGAGAGCTGCCAAATTTCCTTCGATAAAATTTTTATTTTTAAGGAAAATATTTATATATTTATATATTTTTCCTTGAAATTTGCTGACATTTTAAATCAAATTGCAAGCAAAATTTCCCGAGAAATCGGAAGAAATATATTCAAAAATTTTCTTGAAAATTAGTGATTTGTCAAAGGAAATTTGACAACGCCTGAAAGCTCATACAGCGTTTTTCCTTAGCATGGCAGAATAGTAAATCCTTTTGCTCTTTGATTTTAGCCGGTGGGCCTATGTTGAAACATGAGCTGAAACTGTATCCAATAATATGGCATATTTTTGAGTGCATACCTTGCTATCCTGTCGAGTGTGAGCATTGAAACTGGTATACTGATTTCCTTGTAGTCCCGCCGCATGGCTTTCACGATTTTACGAGCAACAACGTCCGCAGTGAGCATATCCAAAAGGAGCGGGAACCTAGAGGAAACAAATTCTTTTTAGAATAACCGATTGAGCACAGGAGACAATTTCATGAGCGCCGTCGCCCACGGCGCACTATGGTCCAAAACTCAAGAATAGGACGAAATAAGTCGGATAGTGACTGAAAAATCACGAAAGTTTCGTGACTGATGTTTTTTTTGAGTCGTTAATTTCGAATTTGATGTCAAATTGCCTACATTTTAACACCCTGACTTATTAACTGTGGGCAAGTTTATAGCGCCCTGCGGCGCGGCGTGCTGACGCTGCCAGCTCGAAACGCGCACTGACGCCTACAAACCTAAGGGGATACTTCAAGCATTGTGCAATGCGTGAAGTAGCCCCTTAGGTTTGTAGGCGTCAGTGGGCGTCTCGCGTTGTCAGCACGCCACAGCGCCCCCGAAGGACGGGTGATGAACGATTTCTTGCGGGGAGAGCTTCGTGGTGGAGATACTCGTATATCGTGGAATTTTTTTAAATTTTCTTTTCTTTAAATTTTTGACTTTTAAAATTACACACTGGTCGTATGAAGTAATAAGGGAACTCTCAACGCTAGATGAAGTGTAATAATGGAAGGCAGGTCGTGCGCCATGCGCGTTGCGGACGGCGGCGCAGGGCGGCTCATGAAATGCTTTCCTGTTCTCTGTCGTAGAACACCGCCAGATCGAATAGGTCCTTCAAAATTCATACATCAAATTCGCAGGCAAAAATTATCGATTAGTCAATAGTAAATGCACAAATGCATGAGCAACCCAAAATTTCAATGCTTTGAATAGGAAACTCATAGTTTTCAAATATCGTTGATCGGCTCACGTTTTTGTTTTTTGATCGATGTATATTAATCAAATAGACACTGGTTTTTTTTCTTGATTCGTCGATCGAATTGGCGCACAGTGGATCGAGTCAATTAGAGCGGTCGGACATGACATTTTTTATTTAAACTGCAAGTTTTGATGTTTTTTTCCGTCACATTTTGAATTTCAAGGGGTGTTATTAGCAGAAAATTTCACGAGGAAACTAATGGAGCCACTTTTAGGACCTCAAAATTGTTCATGAACGGAGTTATAAGCTTTTAAAATTTCCAAATTTTGTCCGACCTCTCCCATTGACTCGATCCACTGTGCGGCGTCAAAGTATTCAGGGGATTTTTTTTCCAATCGATTCATGTCAATCGAATCCATAATTTCATACCCTCCTGTATTTTCAAGTTTCTTGATATCAGGGTAAAAAAAAGTTAGAGAAGTCGATTCAGGTATAATACATGTTGAAATTCCTTACCTGTTCCTCGGTCGTTTAACGAGACCAGTGTTGACCATGATCGGGTAAACCGTCGTGAATTTGATTTGTGACTTGTGCGCCTTCGAATCCTCCGACCGCAATTCTTCATACAAGGACTCCATCATCCCTAATAGAGAACGGGTGGAAAAGCAGTAATCGAAATGTTAGGACGGAGATGAAACATAAAATGATGGAACAGAAAAAGAGGTGATGAATTATTTAGTATCGATGCGAAAAGCCTTCAAAAGCCTTTTCCGAGTGGGAGGAAAACACTTAAAAATCCCAGTCAAAAATCCAAAATTACTCTGCTCACCAAGAAGATTTATTTTTATTATGTTGCCATTACAGCAGATTACTTGAATTAAAATGTATAATGGACGCAACCTCCGGGGTAAAATTTGTTTAATTTTTAAATATGCATAGTGCGTTCCTAAAAAAAAATAAATAAATAAATAAAAATAAAAAAACCTATTCCACTATGGAATCTGAAGTAATTATCAGGGCTATCAGCTTAAATATCGACAGTGAAACTATAGAAACGCGTATCTCGGTTTGCGGTGTTGCAGACTTTCTGTCTTATATTTATACCTCTCAACGTGGAAAACTACTGATTTTCATTTCCTGAAAATTTTGGTAATTTTTTCCCTCAATATGAAGAATATTCTTTGAGAATTTTCAATTCAACTTATTGTCTCTAAATTTCGATCGCTTACGCTCCTTGTATGTCAAGTGAGGCACTCCTGGAGGCTGGACTTATTGGATACCAGGTGGGGCACCCCCGGAGGTTTTGTTACCTAAAACACGCATCACATCGCTGAAATTCGTACCATATTGCCTGGATCAATGATTTGCCTTCAATTGGCCGGCTATGCAAAATGACTGTCGTGACGCACGAATAGTGGTATCAGAATTTCGCATTAAGATTACGCAGTGGGTTGAAGGCGCTCACCTGTATCGTATCTTAGTGGCCCTGTTCAACGATGTTGACCAGAAATGTTCAGAATTTTGGATCTCCAATCGAGCCGTAATCTTGAGAAATGCCCAAAGAACATTATTTTGATTATTAAATAATAAGATTTTCTTCGTCTGTGATTCTTATTTAAAAAAATAGAGTCCAAACGCTAGGTTCAGATTGTCGTCTTTAAGTATTCTTGCTTTGGTCATCATAATCTCATGCAGAACTGAGAGAGTTGGCATTTATAAGATCACAACTTACTCAAAAGCGATTGTGAATTCAATAAGTTTGGATAAAATAAGCTTTCGGCGATGAACTTTGAAAAATCAGAATTGAACTGGACTTACCTCTGACTGCGAATTTTGAGGCACAGTATGGCACTACATTGGCAACTCCAATGACTCCGCACATTGAGGACAGAGCGACGATGTGTCCATGGTTTTTCTCCACCATGCTTGGAAGAAAAGCCTCCAAAGCCTGAAAGACGCGAACATCATTATTTCATTATTATGTCATAAGTCAGAGGCTCCCATCGTTTCTTTCAAGCTTCAGTTCGAATTCGTTTTTTTGAACAGCAAAAACAAAGCCGGAATTCAAGCACTTTGCGATGAAGGATGAGCGCGCAGAGATTGCCGAGAAAAATAACTCCCAAATTAACTAATTCCTTGCTGGAGGGGAGGGGAATAGGAAAATAGGAAAGATGCTCGTTGTTCATTTTTAATTCGCGAACGATTCTTCCAAACGACAAATTCGAATCCCTTGCACTGAAAAACAATTTTAAAAAATTGAAATGTTATTTTGACTTGGAGCATCGTTTCTTGTCAACAAAATTTGGTTTATTTCAGATAAATCCGTGCGGACTTGACTTAAAGTAAGTTTCTTTCTCTCTTTGAGTTAAAAAAACGTCATTTTGCTATCGTTAAGTTTAAGTTAAAAGAAGGTAGCAAAAGAACGTTTTTTTAACTTAAAAAAAACGAGCCTCAAGATAATTCCGCGCAGATTTACCTCAAAAAACCAAATTTTGTCGATAGGAAGCGACGCTTTTAGTCAAAGTAATATCTCAAGAAATTTTTTTCAGAATGGTTTTTGAAGGTATAGTATTTCATTGCACGCTCTGATTCTCTCCAATCTATCTCAAGGCTTGGTAGTTGGATGACGGAATTCTGAAAACTCGCATTATTATTTTATTGGTACAGCTTGTATTCCTGTTTCGTTCTGCATTAAAAACGTAGAGTGGAAGTTAATTCTTGTCAATATCATGACCTGAGACGACGCTTTTTTAATTTTGGTGACGGTCCTCAGAAAAAGAGACAATTGCTGCCGTGCTAAGGAAAAACGCCGTATAAGCCCCCAGGCGTTGCCAAATTTTTTTCGATAAACACGCAAATTTCCCGGTAAACTTATGACTATTTTCCTTCCAATTTTTCAGATACTTTCGCTTGCAGTTTTACCTAAATTTCCTGAAAATTTCAAAGAAAATAATTTATGAATTTCCTGAAAATTTCAAAGAAAAATATTCATAAATTTCCTCAAAAATGAATATTTTATCGAAGGAAGTGTGGCAACTCTCGAATGTTCATACGGCTTTCTTCCTTAGCATTGCCAAATTTCCTCTGGCAAATTACTAATTGTCGGGAAACTTTTTGAATATTTTCCCGCCAATTTCTCGGATAATTTTGTTTGTAATTTGATCTAAAGAGTCTACAAATTTCAAGGAAAAATATTCATAACTTCCTTCAAAAATAAGCATTTTATCTAAGGAAATTTGGCAACTCTCAAATGTTCGTATGACTTTCTTCCTTAGCACGGCAGATTGACCCCGAGGGCCCGAGGGGCCACAAACAAGTAATAGCATAAGTTTAAAACTTACCCAAAAGTGCGCTAAGACATTGATGTCGAATATTTTCCTTATCTCCTCAGGCGTGTGAGCTTTGAGAGGTCGCGATGGCATGATTCCAGCATTGTTAACTAGAATAGTAACATCACCAACGTCCTTCTTCACCTTCTCAGCGGTTGCTAGAACCTCCTCTCTGTTTGAGACGTCCAACCTAAAAAAAATGGCACGATTATTAAGTCGTACCTCTCTAATCCCAATCCACGAATAATCGAGGAAAAGTTAAATTAAAAAAAAGAAAAGTTTCTTTTTTTATTTTCTCAAAAAAAAAAAAAAAAAAAAAAAAAAAAAAAAAAAAAAAAAAAAAAAAAAAAACTGAACGGATTCATAAAAAAAATCTTATATTCCTAACAAAATGTAGCACCTAGAGATGGGCGAAAATCCCTGGAACGGCTCGTAGTGGATCAAGTCAATAGGAGAGGTTGGAAAAAATTTGGAAACTTTAAACGGTTATAACTCCATTTATAAAAAGCTTTGAGGTTCTAAAAGTGGTTTCATCGGTTTCCTCGTAAAATTTTCCTCTAGAGACACTCTTTGAAATTTGAAATGCAACGAAATAAACGTCAAAATTTGCAGTTTTAGTCAAAAATTTCATGTCTAACCTCTCTAATTGACTCGATCCATTGTGCGGCCATTGTATTTGCACTTGTGCGCTGGTCTTGTCTCATCTTATTCACTCTAAATGAATAAGTAGAGAAATATATCTGCGTGACTTAACTAGGCACAGTGCGTCTTGAAGCTAAAAAAAAACCAACAAAAAAACCGACAAAAATGTACCAAAAAGCGGGTTGCAGGGGGTGAGTTTATGATACGTGTACACTTAAAATTGCGAAAAATAAAAATTTTGGCTGATCTTGATTTTGAGGTATCGCAATTTCAAATTTTCATAGTAAATGCGAGTAATCTCAAAATAGAATACACTGCGCTACAAATTTCAATTTGTGGTGTTGGCGCTTCTTCAGTCTGAGTTTAGGCTAAACTTCCCACCAAGACTGAAAATTTGTAGCGCGGTATATTTTATTTTGTATTTACTTTTAGTTTATGGTGAAAGTTCTTTGAGAATCTCCCATAAAAAGACCATAAAATACAACTCTCTATTGGTAACGATATTAATTAAAGAGCTAAAATGTTTTTCAACGTTTATAATGCGGTTTTTTTTCAATTCGCCTTCAGCCGCGTCCGCAGCAATTGTTGTTACGAATATGTTGTACGTGCTGATCTCAACTCATTACATACGTGACTCTCTGAAGGCGTTTTATGTGCGAAAGTAGAGCACCCTGTCGGAAAACAGTAGAAGTGAGATTGAATTAATCGCTTAATCCCTACTTCCTTGGTTCTCCGAAAGATTGCGCCACTTGCGCACATAAAACGCCTTCAGAGAGTCGAATATGTAATGAGCAAAAATCAGCACGCACAACATAATCGTAACAACAATTGCTGCAGACGCAGCTGAAGGCGAATTGCTTTCGGGCATAAAACGCCTTCAGAGAGCAAATATGAAATGAGCAGAAATTAGCACGCACTACATATTCATAACAACAATCGCTGCAGACGCAGCAGAAGGCGAATTGTTCAGTTAGAAAAATTGGAGTCTGCATGTGACGAGAGGGTATGTATTTGATCGATATGAATCGAACGAAAAATAAAAAACTTGAACCGATCAACATCGATTTAATGGAAAAATAAATAAAAAAGCGAATCAAAGTCAGTAGAAACCTTGCATTAACTATACAAATTTCAAATTGCTGTAGGTTGAAATAAGGATCATGCTAAGATTTTGATTTTTCCAAGTTAAGAGAGCTTCATGAGTCGGAGTCGAAGCAATGTTACCAGGTTGTGCGAAAAAATGTGTTTAAGTGGAGAAAAGTGCTGATTTTCTCTGCTTAAAATGGTGAGTACAAACTCATATGAATAGAATTTCAACTCATATGAATAGAATTTAACTCATACGAGCAGAATATCTCTATCATCCAGTTCTCGCCAACTTCTATGACTAGAGATTCCAACTCACACGAGTTCAGCGTTGAATCTACATTGTCCGATATCTCAGAAACTAGTCACCGCAACAAAAAAGTCATAAGAACAAAATGATTTTATTTTTCAAATGTGCATAAAATGTCGGTGTCTCCTGGTCAGAAACAGCACTTCTAAAAATGAGAAAAAATTGAATTCATATGGGTTGAACTTTTCTGATCTTATGAGTAGGATTTCTACTCATATAAGTAGGAAGTTCTACTCATGTGAGTTGGCGAATTCTGAATAGCCTACTCGTCATTTTTAGCAGGATTTCAGCACTATCTGGCAACAATGAGTGGAAGCTCTCATATCTGGATTTGAGGTAGTTGAAGTGAGCTCGGTAACTTACTTGTAAGTCCAGACGTCTTTGCAGCCCCTCTTGGCGAGGAGCTCTTTGGTCTCGTGGTTGCCTTTTTCGTCGATGTCCCAGCAGACCAATTTCGTGCCGTGACTTGCAAACTGGAACGCCAGCTCCCTCCCAATCCCGTGACCTGCTCCTGTCAACTGATCAAAAACACTCAACTTCAGTCAAGAGGTATTACTCAGCGGATCACTCTTCAGCCAGGTGCTCATTGCCCGCGTTTATAGTCATTTCTCAACTAGCTTTTCGTATCGAGGAGACTTCAATTGGACGTATTTCTGCCAAACGGAACTAGCATACGCGCTAGCGGAACTGCATTACGACATGAGCCCTGGGACCCATGAGAATATATGAATAACAGGGCTTACGTCATAATGCACATAGTTCCGTTTGACAGAAATACGTCCAATTGATTTGCTTTGTGGTTAAGAGGCGTATTCCGCCATGCTAAGGAGGAACGCCGTATGAACCTTCAGACGTTGAAACATTTCCTTCAAAAACCTTAATTTACTGAGAAAACAGTGAATTTTTTTCTTCAATTTTTCAGACAATTTTGTTCGCAATGTCGCCTAAAATGTGGGAAAATTTCGAGGAAATATATACACTTGATCGTTCTCAAAAATGCGTGTTTTATCCGGGGCAATTTGGAAACTCTCGAATGTTCATACGGCGTGCTTCCTTAGTAGGGCAGCATTCATAGTCGTTTTTTAAACAGCTTCTTTCCTTTTGGAGGCTCCAAACGGTTTACATAGCATTATTCTCGAATAGGTCTCGATACACCATCAAATTCCGGACCAATTCTGATCTAAGTAGACCACTTGATGACTGATGGTCACCATGCAACGCGGACTAGCTTTGATCAAAATTGGACGGCCCGTCCAATTTTGATCAGAATGGAGTGCCACCATTCATCATTTCCTGCCACAAGAAACATTTCGCCCAAAGTTTTCATTTTAAAATTAAGCAAATTAATGATTTTAATACTGATGACTCCCGACACTTTGATGGTAATTGGTTCGGGAATTTGATCGTGTATCGAGACCCAATGAAAACTTGGCAGAAAATGTTGTAAGAAATGATGACTGGTGGCACTTCATTTTGATCAAAGAAGAATGTTGCACGGCGACCAACAATCATCATATGGATTACATTTTGCAAGAAGGAACCACTATCTCTGGCTCTCCCATAAAAGCACATATCTGCGTAGGGAAACCAATAGCATGTATGTTGTTTCTAAAATGGGCCAGAAATAGTGGTTCCTTATTGCAAAATGTAATCCAAATAGTCTAATTTGATTGGGATTTGATTTGTGTATCGACGCCTTTATAGGGGTTCTTTACGAGGCTTTATCACATACGAAACTTATCACGGTTTTCTTCTATGTGTAACACACCGTCACGTTACATAACTGATAGGTGCTCCTCTGTATGATTATGAGGCAACTTGGTTCTACGGGCCGGGGCCGGCTGTCTTTGGGGAGCCTAATTCGAGGACATGCCTTGATTTAATGTTCCGCGCAGCCCCTCCTCTTCCTCGAGTGTCTTAACGCGCTTATTAAATTTCGGCCCTAAATTAGAGCTATCCATCGGCCGCCCCGATTGCGAAAACGCCTGAAATCACGCGCCCAGGATCTTGCGTGCAGTAGAACCGGATTTTGCGATCACAAATTTGTTGCCAAACCGGGGAACCCGTAGCTCGCCCGCGAGCCGCGGCACAAGTGCATACTCCGGAAAATACCGCACTGGAAAGAAAAAACACATTGGATCTAGAGTCCAGACTCTTGAAAACATTGACAAGAAAAAATACTCTTGATTCAATCAGATTTTTGCTTATATCAAAAGGAAATCCGCTCGGATTAAGAGGCTTGGTTCTTGATTTAAGCAAAAATCCGATTGAATCAAGAGTATTTTTTCTTGTCAATGTTTTCAAGAGTCTGGACTCTAGATCCAATGTTTTTTTTTTTCCTAGTGAAACGGAAAATGATGTGATTTTTGTTGATTGAGACAAATATTTACAAAGCAACCCGATACAATGGTAACATGACAAAAAGCGAGGGGGGAAAACGGGAAACAAGGCTAAAAATACAACACTAAGAACCCGAGACGTTCCGACGCAAAATTGAGTCATTTTCAGTCGGAAAATAAATTAACAAAATATTGCAGATAAACTGAATAGGTTCTCTGAATCAGGTTTCCCCTTGTTTTTATGTTGGTTGAAACCGTGGTTGTTGTACACCTAGGGGGAACGGAACATATCTAACTGTTCATATGGTCTCTATGTGGGTTACCGAAAGTTAGTCTATTACTTTACCTCCTACTTGATAGCTATGGCGATTCCAGCAAGTTGGGAACACTGGTAATATTCCATTTAAGTCCATTAAATATATCGATTCTAGGTGAGGCTGCAGCCTATCTCTCCTAGAATCGATTGTTTTACTTACAATTAAATGGAGGAAAAACAACTTTGTTGCTATTTTTAAGAATCGCCACTGATTGATAGACAAAGAAGACAAAGGAAAAATGAATCAATTTTGTTGGTTGGAGCCGGCGGTTGTTATGTACGTGGGGGGAGGGGAGAATAATGGATTAACCATAAGGTCTCTCGTTGGTTGCCGTTGGCTTGTCTATTACTTTACCTACTTCATACAAGGCAACAACCCCCTACTATCAAATAGGATTGCTCAATTTTCTCTGTCCTTTTTGTCTATCTATCGCTTTGTCCATCAATTCCAATAATCAGCCTGCAGCTGCGTTTGTGTAAGAAAAGAGGTCCGCCTGTTGTCAACTTTTTTTAAATTTGAGCGCCTTGTATATTCTAATGTTATATGTGGACCAGGCGACATTCCTCAGAGACTTGAACGAAAGGACAGAAAAGTAGCCCGTCCAATTCTTCGTGGGATCGATTGTTGAAACAGAGCTGTTATATCATTTCGCTGGTGTTTTCTGCCTCAAAAGAGTTCCTAAAATCTCATAAAAATATTTCATACGTGTCCCAATCTAACATACAGGGTATCCCAAAGGTTCATAAATACGTGACGCCCTGAGGACGCACGTCACAGAAGCGTTACAAGGAGGGAGGGGGAGGTTAAAAATGCCGAAAAGTGCGTTGCGTAAATTTTGTCGCGAGACATATCTCGTCGTCTTCTATCGATATTTTTTCATGAGAAAACGTCAGAAAATGTCAAACCAAATTGCATGTTGGTGAGGGTTTCATATGGTTATGATGGATCAAAGTTTGAAGTTCATAAAACGTAATTTCGAGGAAAAAAAGCTGTGTAAATTTATAATTTTTCATTTTTAGGGTGCAAAATTATTGAAGTATTATTAATGCATGAAACGCTGTCTATGGTGCAAAACCACTGACTAAGAAATCACTTGCAACTTATTTTTCGAGACACCATCAATGAGAGGTTCCCGTCGAAATTCTTAGTCCGATTTTTCGACGTATCTCCGCAAAAAGTACTTCTCTGAGAATTTTGCCCACGTGTTTGGAAACCCTTATATCTGCGGACGGTCAAAGTTTTCGGTTTGTTCTCAATAAAGAAGCAGCGTTTTAAACGATGTTAGTTTTTAGCTTTTATAACCTCATTCTTAAAAAAAGAAAAAAACATGTGAAAATGGTAATGTGATATCAGATCACCGAAATCTTAACTTGAGCTCACTGCCCGGAATCACATGTTATCGGCGCGGCTGGGATATGTTACGTCAGCTTGAACGACGGACAACGACTTAATGGATACAGGCACGCACTTAATGTGCACCTGTTTGGCCTACTGGGAGGAGATTAGTTGATCTTGTTTTCTTTCTGTTATTGTACTTTTTGTAAAGAAAAAAAAAAAAGAAAAAAAAAAACTCAATCCTCAAATTTAATTGCATGAAATATAGGCTAGTTGTTTGATTGCTTTAACCAGGGGCTGCTTGCTATTAGCAAGATGCACCAAAGTTGATTGTTTCAAACAGGGAAAAAGAATAATCGTGTATTGCAATTCACACCCTTGTTCGTATCTGCTTAGGTTATTGTCGAAAGTACGGATAAAGACGAATTTTACAGGATTGACTCGTGCCATTTTTTGGTGAACCTTAGGATGGGCGAATCATCAGAAATGGATCTTTTGGTGATCATACCATATCTTCTCTATAAAAGTGTATGAACACTCAAGGTGCAGATGTAGGCTGAGCGGGGCGAGGGGGGGAGGGGTGTCGCAAGGGGCGACATGGAGGGAACACAGGGCACGAGTCTCCCCTTTCCCGACTTACTCTCATAGCGACGGCTACAGCGCACAGTGGACGGAGTCAATTGGAAATGTCGGACAAATTGCGGCAACTTAAAAAACTTGTAACTCCGTTTTTACCAAAATTTGAAGTTTTAGGAATGGTACCATCGGTTTCCTCGTGAAATTTTCCTCAAGAAGCAACCCTTACAATTTAAAATGTGACGTAATAAAAATAAAAATTTTCAGTTTGTAGTCTTAAATTTCATGTCCGGCCTTTCCCTTCGACTCGATCCACCGTGCGGCGGTAACGTACGGGTCCGCTACGAATAATTGCCGGCGAGCAATTAACATTTGCGCAATGCCTGTGCCGGTGTCGGATCTCGGATCTGCATCCAGCCGTGCACTCCACCACTCTGCCGTCTTACGGAGGAGAACAGTAACTCCATTTGGACTTGGACCGCGGTTCACTACTGTTCACATGCGCTTCGAGGCTCACTTCATTGAGGAGTTATTTCTATTTTCCGTGACAAGGCAGCATTGACCGTGCCGGCTCCAGATTATCACCGCACCGCGCGGTGCCCCACAAGCGTATCATGATCTCGTACCCTTGATTATCAAAATTCCATGCAAGGAGACGAAGGAGTTTTGTCTAAATTGGGCTTTTTAAAAATAGACATTCTCGGGACGACTTCGACGGAACCAAGCGAGAGTGTTTAGGAAAGACGTACGTGCAATATACTGCCGTGCTAAGGGAAAACGCCGTATGGATATTCGAGAGTTGCCAAATTTCCCCTGATGAAACATGTATTTTGACGACATTCATGCACACTTTTCTTTCTTTCTCCCGGTAAATTCGGGTTTTATCGAGGAAAACTGAGAGCCGTCTGAGGGCTCATACGGTGTTCTTCCTTAGCATGGCAAAAACGCCGT